GCAACAAAGCGCAACACCAACGTCGAAAATTTTCGCAATGTAATCTTACGTATTCATCGGTAAGAAAAGGGTTTGCCTTTCGTACATAATAGCGTCTGGCAGAGTGAGGAGGAGTTAGGACGGATTAGTCACTATGCCGCTGGACATCTGTCGTATTGATGGACGGTGGTCAGCCAACTCTCTTGATATGATCAATAGTGTACTTTCTTTAGGTAAATCTTGATGATCGTAGAATGTCACGGCTCTGGCAGGCAACTCTAAAATTGTCCATGTCATCTCCGACAGTTTTCGTTCTCGAAAACTGATCACTCTATAACGAGCCTTTTTGTCGAATATACCGTCATACGATACTCGTTTTAGGTAATCTCTCGAAATAAACGTGAATATTTTGTGACCAAATATTATGGCATTCTTTTTTACAAAATGTTTTATTTTATTAAGTATACCGATAATATTGCGTGCTAGAAGTAAATGCCAAAATCAATTAATTTAGTTATTATATTCTACATAAAGATCAAAATTTTTAAATTTGGAATATTACACTGTTTTTTAAATTAAATGTTTTAAATCGTGTGAATTAAATTTGCAAGAGTGATATTAGAATAATTATGAACCGTGAATAAATTCGTTACGTCAATTGACACAACGATGTTTTTGAATATATAATACCGTGCATTTTGCGAGAGACACATGTTAATTTTATTTTTAACATCTTGCAAACAAAAAATTGTAAATGTACAGACAAAAGTTATTAAGGATACAAAAGATCAAATATTAAAATTTCGATATAGGTTTAAAAAATGCTTTTATTCGGTTGTGAGGATTGCTACGTTATTTATCTTACTTTTCTAACCAGAGAAGGGATTTTGTTCCTTTCTCATGTTGATTGTTGACTTGTTTACGAAAGTTTTCGTTCTGCACTCACCACATAGTTCTTCCATTCTTTCGGGATCTCTTTCATCTTTTCCCTGCTTTGAGAAGAATTTTACATATTTCGCAATTCGTTACATTTCTTTTTATGTGTCATGATTACTTATTTTTTTCGTAGAAATTGAAAAAGTAAAATATCACGCTTATCTTGAATTCTAACAATGTATTAATAATTGGCAATATCTTTGAATAATGATTAAAAATTATGAAAATTTATAAAAATATGCGCGAAGTAATAAATAAATTCCGTCAATTATATTTAAAGATGAAAATGTATAGAAAATTGCTTATAGATATTTTTCGATTATCATGATAAGATTAATAAGAATAAAAGACTCTTGATTTCAATAAACAATGAATATAATAAAGGGCATGTAAGAGTAAATTACCAATTTTTATGTTGAGAATATTGAAAGAGTATATTACATAATGAATATTAGTATAATGATATTCATAATAATATTATTATTATAATTATTATAATTCATTATGTAATATATTTTTTAATATATTTATTGTCATAATAAGATCGATAACTCTATTTTTCTGAATTATTTTCTGATTACGGGAAACGATTGCGTGTTCATTTATATCGATCTAGGATTGGAACAGATTAGATTTGGAAGTACTTTATGGCAAATGCATAGAAGAAAAGGACCATATAAAAAAC